GGAAGTACATATGTATCCGAGTTTGCAGGTTAACATCCTCCAAAAGCAAAGGCAAATGCTCGATCAAAAAATTCAAGAATTCTGTACCTGTTAATCTGTTGTCGAAAAAGAAAGGCCCGATAACTTGTCTGCCAATAACTCCTCCCCAAAGATTCAAGACGTGCTAATAACCGGAAAAGTAGCCGTACAAACCTTTATGTGTCTAGTATCAAAAAAAAAAGACTATAAAGAATTGAATCCAAACTTGCACAAATATACAGTGTGATGTTTTTGAAATACTTGAGAAAAACTACAATTTGCGTTTTTGACCACTCTGTATGAGCAAAAATTAAAATTCGAAAAACTAACAAATAAGATAAAATCTGAGGTGTGTACGTTTTTTTGATACAAAATTCGGCACTCCATATTTCAAAATGGCGGACTGAGCGGATGCCGAAGTGGGTGGTTTTTATAGACAAAACATCTTATATCTCGGTAGCTAATTACCAAAACCCCTTAGTATGTGACATCAATTTTCTTCTTTTGAATTGGTTGATCCAAATAAGAAATAAAATTTGAGGCATTGCCCTTGAAAAATCATAACTTTGACATGTAGGTAGAAATTGGTACACCCTGTATAATGACCAATATTTCATAAATATGCCCTCAAATGTCATGTATAGCATGCCATAAATAGATTTTCCCAAAATGTATTTGTTTATGAGTAATATTCCGTCCACACATGGATGGTCCACCCTGTATATCTGAAGTGTATCCAGGGTGTTTCACATCTTATTCGACAAATTTTAACCACATACATATGCACTGTTACGAAAGAAGTTGATTTGTCAAATTTTTGGTATTGTGGAAGAAAGTCCGGGAATAAGCATAAAACAGTTAGCCCCAACAGGTCCCAGATGTGTCACATGCAACCGCGTGGCGCATATTATAATATTATTTTATTATCTCGATTTCTGTAGAACTTTTATAACATTTTTTTAGAAATCAGCTTCTTTCGTAACAGTGCATATTTGGTTAGTACTTGTCGGATAAGTTGTGAAATAGCCTGTATATCAAGAATAAAATTGGGCCAAAAATTCAGCCTTGTGGTACTCCAGATATAGTATAAAGTTTGAAATAGAAGGAACGTATTACTCAACGAGATCTGTTGTTTGCATACTTCTGCTTCTAACTAGCCGGAATTTGTTGATTGGAGTTTTGCATAATGAAATAGCTGTATGGTAAAGGTACGTATTTAAAATGCAATTTACGATATGAATTTCAACCGAATGAAGTGCTTGGTCAATTAATGCTTTGAGCGTTCATGGTCTACTAATTTCTAATAACTTCCATGAGTTACTAACACTAATACCAATATTGCTCAGTTATAATTAATCTTTCCAATGAAACGGACCATAATTCCATCCTTTCCACCATAGATATTCCATTTATTCCGCATCAATGACAGCATAGCAACGGCATCACCGGTGTGATGATTAAAGATAAGGACCGTGCCACTGAAGCTGGAACTCTCGCTCCTCCGCACTCGCACACAATTCGCAATTCATTACCACCATCGCCGATGCGAATATGATGTATGAAATAACAAATGCGAACTGTAGCATTGGAATATGTATATGGAAGATAGGCTATCAAACGGGTTTACTAAAGCAGGCCATGGACTTGGGAAAGTACAGTACTGATTTAGTGTGTTCTAAGTGTACGGGAAGTCATAACATTAAATATTGTGTATCAAACACGCTTCAGTGCATAAATTGTCTGAACTATAATAAGCGCAATAAAAATAAATTACCCACAGACCATCCCACCAATTTCAGAAATTGTCTTATATACATAAACCATGTAAATAATCTCAAAAATATGATTCAATATGACTAATAGTAATGAGGGATTAATGAATGTATGTCATTTAAACGTTCGCTCCTTGCTGCCTTCTTTGGATGATTTTTTTGCAATAACGCGTGATAAATATGATATTATTGCAATTAGTGAATAATGGTTAAACGATTGCACTGATGATGGTGCAGTATCAATGAATGGCTACAGTTTATTCCGGAAAGATCGTGGAGCTAGGGGTGGAGGTGTTGCTTTGTATACTAGGTCATATCCCAATTGTACTTTAGTAGATACGAACCCTATCGACTCGGGTGCGTTGGAAATACTGTGTTGTCAATTCACTATATCTAGTAGCGGATATCTGATAATGTTCATTTATCGCCCTCCTAATTGCTCTAAAAACGATAGCATTACCATTTTGGATAAGCTCCTATCATTTTTCAGCCCTCAGCACGACAATATTAGGTGATGTGAATGTTGATCTGCTCAACCCAAGTAACCCACTTAGTGCATGTTTTGATTGTTACAGCTTTGCGCAGGTCATTGACGAGCCTACCAGGGTAACCCAATTGAGATCTACTCTCATTGATCCAATTTTCGTCAATAACTCAGACACTGTTTCAAAAGCTGGTGTAGTTAATGCAGATATTATTTCTGACCATAAGTTGGTTTTTTGCGAATTCCGTGTTGTAATTAAGAAACCCCTACCGCGATTTATCAGCTATAGAGATCTTAAAAACATTGACATAGTCAGCTTTAAGACTGATTTAACTCGAATGAATTTGGATAGAATCTCTAATGTCAAAGATATAGAACAAAAAGTATGTATTTTAACGGAATCACTCACTATTTTATTTGATGCATATGCGCCTGTCAGAGTTGCTCGCGTCAATAAAAGAGCCGCACCCTGGTTAACAGCTACAGTAAAACTTATACTTAAACAGAGGGATACTGCCTTAATAACTTTCAGACGTACTCCCAATCAAGAAAACTGGATATACTACAAGGAACTAAAAAATTATGCTTTAGCGTCAATAAGGAGGGAAAAAAGGCTTACCTACCTATCACATATTAATAACTTGAATACGCAGCAAGCTTGGAAAACCCTTGAAGATATGAGTATCTGTCGACGGAAAAAAAATGAAATTCCAGATGCCCCACTCGAACCAGACTCTCTGAATGATTACTTTTTATTGAACTCACAGGCTGCTAATATGAACTCGAGGCTAACTGAGTCTACAATTCATAAATATGATAATAGCTCCTTCTGCACTAATGTTCCTTCATTTACTTTTCGCTACGTTGACCAGCATGAAGTGCTGGATGTTTTAACTTCTATCAAGTCAGAAACATCGGGTTGTGATGGACTTAGTCGTAAAATGATACATCTCTGCTTATCAGAAATTTTGAATCACATTACTCATATTATAAATGTGTCCTTAGAGACAGGGATTTTCCCAAGCTGCTGGAAGGAAGCTATCGTTTTGCCTTTGGCGAAGATAAACAACCCCTCTGAGTATTCTCACCTACGGCTCATCAGCATGTTGTGCTTTTTGTCGAAGGTTTTAGAGAAAATTGTCTACATACAGCTGGCCCACTATTTTGAACAAAACAATATGATTCCTCAATATCAGTCTGGTTTCCGTACAGGGCATAGCACAACAACCGCTTTATTAAATATTACGGATGATATCATAAAAAATGTAGATGATCAGATAGGAACAGCTCTGATTCGGCTTGACTTCTCTAAGGCCTTTGATATGGTACATCATGGTATTCTCTTGAGTAAGCTCAAATTTTATGGTCTCTCTGACAAGCCACTACGTTTCTTCGATTCGTATTTGTGCAATCGTACCCAGAAGGTGAAAACCCGTAAGAGATTTTCTTCGGCAAAGAGTGTGGCATCTGGCGTACCTCAAGGCTCTGTGTTGGGACCATTACTCTATTTAGTTTATACCTTTGATCTACATACTTGCCTTCAGCACTGTAATATTCAAACGTATGCAGATGACACGCAGCTAACTCTGTCTTTTGATTCTTCGGACATGCATGAAGCATCATATAAATTGAACTTGGATCTAGTTAACAGTTAGAACAACGGTTAGATAGCACAATTGTTCCTAGTCTTAACGAAACCCATATTCCTATAAGTAGACCATGCGAAGTATTTAGGGATCACCATGGATTCAGATTTGAGGTTTAAACAACATGTTACGCATTTATCTCGCTTAACATACATGCGTTTGAAGTTATTATACACCGATCGCCATATTCTGAATTTCAAGACTCGCAAAAAACTGGCTGAGACTCTGGTTCTTTCGTTAATAAATTATTCAATTGCTGTTTACTTTCCTTGTCTTGATTACGTGACTAGATATCGAGTACAAAAAATTCAAAATAGCTGCTGTAGGTTCCTTTGTGGTCTGCGAAAGTTTACCCATGTATCTAAGAAGATAAATGAGCTTAGATGGTTGAGGGTTGACCAGCTTTTCACATATAACTTACTAATTTTAGTACAACGAATAAAAATCAATAAGCTACCTACTTATCTACTAAAAAAGCTGGTACCACGTGGGGATCTCAATTACAGGAATCTGAGACATAACTCTGACTTCCATATACCTAGTTATAGGAGCAACATTTTTCATCGTAGCTTCACCTACAACGCTGTCAAGGTGTATAATAGTCTTAATGACGATTACAAAAAGATAGGAATACTTGCATTCAAGAGGGCCATTAAGAACCACCTTCTGAGGTCTGCTAGCCAAGCTGGCTGATATATTTTTTTTTTTGTCTTTATTGTTTTTTTTTTGTTTATTATTAAGATTAATCTATTTAAGCTTAATTATTGTATATATTATTTAGTCGATTTCTATTCATTGTTATGTTTTTCCTTTTGTATGTGTTCCTGCGCTGTGAGGTTAAGTGGTAGAGTAGCCAGCTGGCTAAACTTCGCCTCGCAGTGTGGAGGGATTAATAAAGACATTATTATTATTATTATTATTATTATTATTATTATTATTATTACGTATTGGGTTCATTTCTAGCGCTATCTAATTCTTACTGATAATGTCGATGATCAAAAATATATCTCAGAGTATATCAAAAATAAAAAAATGTGTTGAAGACACGATTATTAAAAGTGAAATATTTTGAATTTTTAGTGTACCATCAATCAGTATGACATCTATCTTCGTAACAAATGCGAAAGACAGTCAAAGAGACTTTCTATTCAAGGTCGACGTCTAGGTAAAAACCATGGATCCATTGATGGATTTTTCAAGTATTAAGAATGCTAGTTGTAAGCTCGCTCCATTCTCGGAATGTGTGGTTGAAGAGCGGACTCCAGGGAACAACATCCATAACATAATCCTCTTCACCAACATCTGCGGGATTAACAGCAACATTGATGCTGATCACCACTATCTGCGGTCAAGCCACTGCGCCATGGCTTTCTTGAGGAAAGCCCCGAGTAAACATCTGAGTGAGCTGAGGAAAACGAGACTCGCAGTACCTTCCCCTGTGACAAGAAAGCTGAACGTTAGTACGGCTTGGAGACGCCGGAATCTGGTAAAGTCTATTGCTTCCAAAACACAGTACTATACCATGACTAACAAGAAGCGTCCTGGAGATCATCCAGTTTAGATGGATGGCCGATGTCTTAAGCCCGCCGCTCATGATCCAACGCCGCAGTACGATTTTGTCGAATGCGAATGCTGTACGACTTTGTCGAAAATTGGATAAGGACACACATGTAACGATCTTGCAGTATGAGTTTGGGTTTGCATTTTGTATTACTAAAAGTAAAAGGAAAACCCTGCACCAGATTTACTTGAATTTAACACTAATTTTAATTCCATTTTGTATGATGTTAGAAAATTATTGATTTTCTTTTTCAAGAGATCTTCGTTTGCGTTGATATTCACCACCTTATATTTGGTAATCCATTGCTTTTTTTCTAGCTGTTTTGTCGTGATAAAGCGGCGATTTTACTTTCCAAAGGCACCCTTGCTCTTTATATAATTCAAAAAATTCTCTTAAAAGTCCTCATTGTAAGCCATTTCTATAAATACGTGTAGACAGAGTAATATTGAAGAGTACCAAAAGCTTGTTTTCACGTGTGTTTTGGTGTTTGCCGAGCCGAAATCATACAATGAAATTTCGTCGCAGCATGGGCCTGACATACTAACCGTGTAGAAATTCGTTCAACCAGAACTGGTCAGTACGACCACTCCTTTGTCCTAGGATCTTCAGATTGCCTGAGGAGGCATCGGATTAAAGTTGCTTAGGGCAGCCGATGTGCTCCGGTATTTAGGCTTCTGCTTATGCAAGTACTTCTGTATAAAAAAAGACACTGTGCAAACTTACATTCTAAATTCTCCCACAATGTAAACATGGGTGCTATGTAAGGTTTATGCTGCCCTCAGTGGCCTCGGCTTTTGTCCCACCCAAACTTTTGCTGATAAAATAGCGCTGAGTTGGGGAGTAGTGTATTGTAGTGGACTTCCTTTCTGCCAAAGACCTTTGCCTTAGTTTATACAAAGTCCAGATACAATCAGAACTAAAATGTTGTTTCTATTAAGATCTTGAACAAAAAGTGCACAGAACTGAAATATTGCCATCTTAGCATTTAGTGCTGGTAGCACATTCCGGTAGAATGATTCTGCAGCCGCTGTTACAGCGTTCCACTGAATAACCTCAATACGAGCTTCATCGTAGGCAATCTGTTGTACTGAACATCAGATACGAGTACATCAATGAATGGGACTCGTATAACATTTAAGCAATTTGTCAGGTACCTTGGAGTCATTGACGAGGAGTTGATCTGGCAGAAACAAAATCCCAAATTACTTTGCAGGAATTGAAAATTAAGTATCATTAACAAAACTCGGTTATATAAACTCATCATTAGACCCCTATGCGTGGCTTACTCTCTCGCCAAGATGGACATGCTGAAACTGCAAGCCATGCATAATAGAACACTATACATAATCACTAATACCATATGGTACTAACATTATCTTACCAAGATTAGTGACAGACTACTTTATTCCTTCGTTCCCTTCTTTCCCTGTCCCAACTTGAATTTGTGTGGACTCGGGGTAACCGGACCTGACAGATTGACATACCGACTAGACTTTTATCTGAGAGCAAAGGTGCAGTGTATCACTCTGACTAACAACGACTATCAGTACGAGCTTCATTCTGATCACAGTTGGTCCACTTTGTCACCAGCGAATACAAATAATTGGAAGCACTACCCTAAGATTAACTGCATTTTTCGGCTAACCACCTCACAGGTGATTGACGTGAATGGCGGGCTTTAATTCATCTTTTCACAGTCACGGATTTCAGCAGGCTTTGAACGTAATGGTCGGTAAACGCAGGAAATTGAAATGCCCAGTGGCACGATAAGGCCGATGAGATATTTGAAGGGCGACGTTAATGTAGGTAAAGTTGTATAACATACTGCCTGTGCGGCTGCTACTAATCCTAATCGCTCCATCGGTTGATGGAGGATGCGTAGGAGTATTTGCTTTACATTCAACCACAAACTGCTGTATTATCTTTTATATACACTACTTAAAAAAAAATAAGATGGCAATAATAAAATCCAAATTTGTCAGTGATTTATGAAAGGTTGTATTTCGGTGAAATATGATCGTATTTCGGCTTTAGAAACAGCATTTTGAAACTTTAAGATTCTAGCTTTTAGGTTTTCTAGCCGATAAATTTTAGGAGTAGGTATACAAAACGTAAAAAGATTAGCATTCTCGATTACAGTTCCAAAAATGCCGTCGATTTTCTTAAGCAATGCAAAAAGGAACATCTTCTGACTCTTTTAAAATCAATGCAAAAAAATTTCTCAAAGAATGCAATCAAATCTTATTGGAGATTTTTTCCAGTTTTCGGCCAAATGATCATATAGAGATTTTAAATTCAGGATATTGAAGCTGAATAAACGACCATATGATGGCCTATTAGAAAGATATTTTGTTAAGCTCGTGGACTAAAATGTAGAAGGCAACAATTTTTCAAAAAAGATTGCCTTTTTTTTATACTCCAACTACCACGAAGGCCTAAGGCCTAAGCACCCATTGGGCACCGTGGGGCTATGGGGGATACATGGGAAAGGGGGGACGCCACACGGACTCTGGCGAGCGAACACGTGTGCATGCAACATGCACGCATTCTGGCTCCGCCTACGAGAACCGCCGGGTGGTACCTCCGCGTTCGACAGTCAGAGACCATCTACCACCTACGGACAATCACAACATCCATAGCCCAGAGAAAAATTTCTCCGGGGACGGGACTCGAACCCGCACAGCGCACGACGACTGATCAGGAGACCGAAGAGTCTACTACTGCGGCCACCGCTGCTGCCTTGCTCTATCTGTTAGAATTGTTTGAGGACCGTTGCTCCTAAAATGTTTACCCAAAAATACCTGAAAACCATGATCTTAAAGCTTTAAAATGCGATTTTTAAAGTCTAGAAGCGACCATTCTTCACCGAAATACTGCCTCACAAAAAACACTTAAAAATTCGGATTTTTTTCCTTGCTCCCTTAATTTTTTTGAGTAGTGTATAATGCATCCCAGACAAAAAATGTTTTATTCGAAAATTGACACTGAATGTGACAAGCTAGAACACCTGCAAAAAGCTGGGTATGAAAGAACAAAGCTGGTCTCAAAAGTCATGAGAGTCATACAAATATAATGGGTAGATGATAGATTCAATGCCCTCAGTTTACTGATCGTTGGCAGCAATAGCAGATAGCGGACAATTCAGCTAACAGGGTATATTGTAGGTAGCGGCGGTAACAGATAAAGATAGAGACCATCAGAGGTCACAGTATTATGAAAAACCACGATCCTCAGTAAATAGAAACTGACCATAAATATGTCAATAAGAATCTGTAAGTATAATTTATGTGTTATATTTGGTTTTATTTATCTTCTTAGTTCATACAAGAAAAGATCCTCTAACAGTACAAGAAACAGCATAAATGTAAAAATAATAAAAAGGTCCAACGCAGCAAGCAGCAGTGTCAAATATTAATGAATATATTATTTGGTCTTTTACGATATCAAAACAAAGAACGAAAGAGGTCAACTTCAGACAAAAACAGTTACAGGCGCCTTGTTCACAGCATTAGCAGAAACTGCGATATTCGGTAATGGGAAACAAGCACGAGACTGTCAACAAATAAGTGTCTATCTTGTGATTTATTTTTGATTTTATTTATTTAGTACATACGGGAAGGGATTCCCAAACAGAACAAAAAACACATTCATAACACTAAATATAACAGTGAAAGTAATAATAAAGCACACAACAGCGAAACGCAGGGTCCAGTATTCCTGATTACACTTTACTTTGTCTTTGAGGACTTCAAAGCTGTCAGAAAAGAGACCAACTTCAACATTGTTGCCATCATAACCTTTAGGAATCCTCTCTATAAACCGTTGAGGGCCAAGCCCTATTGAGGTCCGTGAAGTTGTTATGTTTGAAGCAAGTCTCTCTTCTAAAGTGTATTTAACGAAGCTACAAAGTAATCGTAAACAGTGGTTCATTCGTGATCAACGCGTGATCGGTAGCCTTGGCGCTCTGTCGGCCTCTTCCAGATTGGCTTGTAGCGACGAGCCTCCAGACAAAGTCGCACGGTTGCCACGCTCGGCGAGTTTTCGCCAGAGTGGTTGATCACATTAGCATGGATCACAAATCAATCTGTTGGTGCAATACGTGCAATAACTGTTGTAAATGACATTATATAACAATAAATGGCATCACAAAGGTATATTCCAATTTGATCTGCAGCAAATTATGAACGGCATATACGGAGATGCGAAAACAAGCTTAAAAAGGTGAAGAAAATTTTTGTGCAATCTTTATAGTTAAATTTTTCCTAAGAGATAGCATCAGTGAGGGAATTTTTTTCTATTGTCTTATTTTTCACATTAATGCGATGTCGAGGTATGTGGCCCTATCGCAATTGAAAATAAGGTTTCGATAATCCTTCCATAAAGTTTCGATGAGTACATCTGAAATAACCTTGAGATATTCTTCAGGGAAATACAAAAATCTCCTTTTGTGTTTTTTTGTGCAGATTTATTTATTAAAATCCTATCCACAATCTATTTTCCGTGCACACACCTTCAACCGAATGTATGCCATATATGATATTACCGTTTCCAACTTTCACCAAGGTTAATAGGAACCATAACAGCTCCCTACCCTTCCCCCCTATAAGAATATC